GTGGCAGCACATATGCTCAAGCTTACATAGCTATCCCTCCAACCCGGAATCACTGTGATGTTTTCAAAGTATTATTTCATATCATTAGAATTGGGGAATGTGTAATATAATGAAATTCTGTGGACCACACAAACATATTTTCCTTTTATCCTAAAAACAGCACTCTTTCAGCAGACTTATCATTGATGAACTCACAGACAAGCATGTGGCTTTCTCCTGACCCCACTCTGCCTTTGGGGCAATGGCTAAGTCCCCTCTCCAGGTCTTGAGGGAAACAGCCTGCTGCTGGGATGACCATTATTCTGGTAATTAAATGTCTTGTCTGAGAATCTTTGTCTCTATTTCCCTGTCTTTGTGCTTCTTCCTCCCACAGTTTCTGAATGACTGATGCTGACATATTTCCCTTCCTTATGGCTTGTGCGTATTTATGGTTTCAGTTACCTCATGGCTTTTGCTCACTCCTTCTTTCACGCTCCTCTCAGGTTTTGGCCCCTCTTTGCCCATGTTGTTTCTCAGTCAAGTTTCCCAAGAACAAAGATCAAGTTGATTGTTGAGTCCTGTTCGGTCGGTTTACTTCTGTTGAACAGTGCTCTTATCTCCCTCAGAGCCACGTCTCTATCAGCCTTTTGGTTGACTACTTATTTCTGTATCCACCAGCTGTGGTCATGGGCTCACAGGGTCGATGTCAGTCATTGCTTTGACAGCAACTCCAACAACAGCAAGAGCAACAACAAAAAGGCTTGCTCTCTGAAGCCATGTTCTCTCTTAAACAAGTATCTTTCCTGCTTGCTCTTTCAAGTCCATATGCTCTTCCTTGGACACATATTCCTTTCCTTCTCCCTCACCCGCACATCTATCCTGGGGGGTCTGGAGAGAGCACAGCAGGTAGGGCGTTTGCCTTGCATGCAGCCAACCCGGGTTCAATTCCCAGCATCCCATATGGTCCCCTGAGCACCACCAGGCGTAATTCCTGAGTGCAGAGCCAGGAGTAACCCCTGTGAGTGCAGAGCCAGGAGGAACCCCTGTGCATCGCTGGGTGTGACCCACGGTCATGGTCACGGTCACGGTCCTCCCATTGTTCATCGATTTTCTCCAGCGGGCCCATTAACGTATCCATCGTGAGACTTGTTACTATATTTGGCATATCAGAAAAAAAAACCTATCCTGGGTCTGGAGAAATAGTCCAGCAAGAAAGGTATTTGCCTTGCACATGGCTAACCTGGGTTTGATCCTCAGCATCCCATATGTCCCCTGAGCACTGCCAAGACTAATTCCTAAGTGCAGAGCCAGAAGTAAGCCCTGAGCATCACCAGATGAGACCCAAAAATCAATCAATCAATCAATCAATCAATCAATAAAAACTATCCTGCTCCACAAAATAAATAAAATACAACTAAGATTTCTTAGTGACACAAAAATATAAACATCTGTTTCACTCAAATATGGGTTGGTTGTAGGTCAACTGATATAGGCTGGTCCTTTTCCTTATATTTTCTACCTTCCTTTTACCTACCTATAGGTGAAATTGTTTATATCTGTCACATGACAATGAATGTACACAATGTCAAGTAACAGCATGCAATGCTAGAGATAAATTGACTCTTCCACCACAGAGGCCCCGTAGTATTTGAGCAAAAACAGCAATATCTGAGCAAAAGGGTACAAAGTGACATAGTAAAGCACATTGAAGAACTAGAGCAAACACTTTAACTTTTATCACTAGATCACATGGTCACATAGCCTGGCAGGCCATCTGTTCAGATCCCCTCAGAGAAGGGTGAAGAGATGACAGGCAGTCTCAGGCTTCTCAGAAAGACACAGGGTGACTCACAGGTTAAATAATAATTTTACCAACTTACAAACCACCACTAACAGGACTTAAAATATATTGTCTAAAACAGCAAAATATAAAAATTTAATGAAAAGAAAAAAGAAATCAGAGAGAGCAGAGAATTTTTTCCTTCTAGCCCAAGTGAGAAATTTTTTAAAGCAATGAGCTATATAACAAATAAATGCAAAGCAAATTTCTATCACCTTACCTTCTGTGCATCAGAGGCAGGCAGTTGTGGGAGCTTCAACACATTTTCTACTTTCAAGTATCCTGTTGTTCAAGAGATAAATTTTTCAAAGACTTCTCTCAATCCCATACCTCTGTCTTGCAAATCTTGTTGTAAATTACTGAAATTGGTCCCAGACCTGGCTTTTCTTTTGAGTGGTAAGTTACCTCCATCTTCCAGGTCTCTGTAGTTATCTGAGAAGCTGCTGAGCCTTCAATCTGAATACCACTTTCTGTCTGCCTCTGAAGTCCTGCACCATTTCCTGTCACCCTCAGCTATACTGCCTACTAGGCCCAGGTTCATTGGAAGGGCCTTCCTCTCCTTTTGCTCCTGTCACCCATAACTGGTCTCTTGCACACAACCACAGACAGTCCTAAGGTCTCCAGCACTAGATCCTGTCCATGGTAAGATTTAAGAGATGATCTCTGTATCAGAAAGGATTCTTTTTTTACTCCTGGAGGTGCTCAGGGGGCCATATGGGATGCTGGGAATCGAACCTGAGTCAGCTACATGCAAGGCAAATGCCCTACCCGCTGTGCTACTGCTCCAGGCCCTCAGAAGGGGGACAGAGAAGGAAGGAAGGAAGGAAGGAAGGAAGGAAGGAAGGAAGGAAGGAAGGAAGGAAGGGGAGGACAAGCGTTGATATGGATGGGTCTGGGGCGGGGGGGGGGTGGTGGGAAGGGACCCTCATTCACTACTGGTGGGAATGTTGACTGACAAACCTTTTTGTAACCAATATAGACATTCCTGAAAAATTCCTCAATTCCACATATGGAAGGAACTGAGTCTTTTTTATCACCAAGCAATCCTATTTCTTGGAATATACCAATATACCCAAGGGCCCAACAGCACAAAGCAGAAAAGATATTCGCACTCCTACGTTCATTGCAGTTTTATTCACAATAGCCAAACTCTGGAAACAACCCAGAGCCCAAGAATAGATGATTGGATAAAGAAACTGCACATATACACAATGGAACACTACTCAGCAGTAAGAAGAGATGAAACTATGTGATTCGTTGCTATGTGGACGGATCTGGAGAGTATCATACTGACTGAAGTTAGTCAGAGGGAGAGGGGCAGACACAGAATGATCTCTCTCATGGGAATAAAGAGAGGAAGGGAATAACGAATGCCCAAAGGCAATAAAACAAAATAAAGCATAAAAACTGGTTTCCAGTAGGAAACTTGACACTGGGGGCTGGGAAGTGGGGTGGGGGTGGGGAATTGGTCAGGGAAGGCAACAGTATGACATTGGTGGAGGAAAGTGGACAGTGGTGAAGAGATGATGTTGGAACACTGTACTCTAAAACTCAATCATGAGCAACGCTATAATTTTGTGATTCATTTTTTGTGATTCATAGTTTTGTGATTCAATTTTTTTAGAAAAGGGAAAAAATAAAACAACTTTCCCCAAAAGGGTCAGATTTCTGGCATTGCTGTATCTGCAAGTTCAAAAGATAATATCTAGATATATGAGCTTGTAATTTTTTTATTTAATAAAGGCAAAAACAGGAGCCAGAAAGACAGTACAGCATACAGGGCGCTTGCTTGTCTTGAACATGAACCACCTAGTTTGATCCCCAGCATCCCCGGGAGTTATTCCTGAGCACAGAGCTAGAGTAAGTCCTGAGCACTACCAGGTATGCCCTCCACACATTCCTCCTACCCCCACTCAGAAAACGGATAAATTGGGTCAAAGAGATCATTCCAATAACTGGGCAGACATGCTTCTCATGCAGGATGCCTGGCTTTGATTCACAGCACCACATGGCCTCCTGAGCACTGAGCCAGGAGTAGCCTGAGCACTGATGGCCCCAAAACCAAAAAGTGTGAGGCCCTGGGTTTGAATGACAGGACTGATCCTCTTCTAGCTCCACAGGTACCCTCTATCTCAACAGCAATAACAAGAAAGTAAAAGCAAAACGTTAAAAACAGGCAACAAATTTAAAAGAAAATGTATTTCTCTAACTCTGCTTTTGTCTTTTTGTGCTTGTAGCCACAACCCATAGTGTTCAGGTCTTACTCCTGGCTCTGTGTTCAGGCATCATTCTTGGAAGGGCTCAGGGACTTCTGGGGTTCTGGGGATTGAAGAATTGCCTGTGAGAGGCAAGATGCCTACTCGCTGTACTGTCTCTCAGGTCCCTCTCTACCCTTGATTATTTTTCCCCTCTGGCTTGAATTCACTTTCCTATCCACAGGCCATCTCTGGTGGTAACAGTAAGTCACCAGAAACCTCAGCGCTCCAACACAACAGTGCGTCCTTATCCCCAGAATGCCAAATACAAGACCGGAAATTGACGCTCATAGACCTGGTTTGCATTAGATGGTCACTGACTCAAGCTTGAAAGCTAGAGAGACGGAATGTTCAAATCAGCCGGGTGCCAGTTAAGCAACATCAAGAGACAGCTTGGGGATACAGACAAGAAGAAACGAAAGCACCACGAGTGTCCACTACCATTCTCTTAGCTTCTTTCCAGGAGGCCTGAAGACCACTGTGGGGCTGAGACCACCCAGCCTCTACTGAGTGCTCCTGAACTCATAAAATATTTCACTCATTGCCCTTAGTCTCATCTCCAGCCCATGAGCCAAGTGGTATTACTCAATCCTTTCCAGTGACTTAAGAGAAAAGGGGCTTTGCTAGGTCACCGGGGGGGGGGGGGGGGGGGGGGGGGGGGGGGGGGGGGTCTGTGGAGAGAGTGCACAGAAAGAGAAAGATCACACCCGCCAAGCAACTTCCTTTGCTTGTCAAGTTCCCCACCTCCCCCACTACCACATCCTCCCCTTCACCTTGCCAGCAGCTGTCCTCCACCTTCTCTGTCAGTAGCTCCAGCCTCTTTTCCGTATCTCTGATCTGGCCCGTGCTGCCACATCCACTCCCCGACCTTTGCTCCTGGCCTCAGGCTTATCTGGCGCTGCACCTAGCCCAGGGGCTCACTTTCGCTCACTGCCTGTCCATCCCACGGCCTGACTATGTGCACTGGCAAGTGTTCGCGTTTCGTGGGGCTCTGCCTCATCCCCCTGTCCCTGGTCTGCATCGTGTCCAACGCTCTCCTGATGGTGCCCGGCTGGAAGACCTACTCGATCAAAAGGCTCAGCAAGCAAGTCTTATACATGGGTGGCTTCATCGGCGGCGGCCTGATGGTGAGGACACTGGCCAAGGGAGCACCATTGGTGCTCAGGGTGCCACTCTAAGAGGTGCCAGTTAGGCGGGAGAAGCGGGAAGAACGGAAAGGACAGTTATTCTTGGAAGGGACATTGGTGGCACAGGGAGGGTCTGCTTCCAATTAGCCAGCACTCTGCAGAGGTCCTAGAAGACCCAGGTCCCAAGCTAGACTTTTTTTTTCTGGTTTGATTTATTTGGAGGTGGGGGCCACACTCGATGGTGTTCAGATCTTACTCCTGGCTCTGCAATCAAGAATCTCTCCTGGCAGTGCTCTGGGAACCATATGGGATGTCCCGGTCAGTTGGGATGCCCTCACCGCTGTATTATCGCTCTACCCTTGTAAGCTGAATTCTAAGGACACAAGGAGGAAGGCAGCCTCACTATTTTAACATGCTTCCTTTCTGGGTAGGGAGCATGTCCTACCTGCCCCTCCATGCCTCCCTCCAAGTCACTGGAGCAGATGGTGGGGAAACCTCATTACAAAGGTCAGGCAGGAGGCACAACTGCTGTGTGTTTATCAGAGCAAGATAATAGTGGGTATGGGGTTGGGGTACAGTGACTCTCTGAGAAGCCTGGAAACAGTATCCCAGATCAGTCATTCCACCTACGAGTTCAGTGTCACTTCCCCCTGCCTCCATGTCTCCATGTCTGTTTTCTCTCTCTCTCTCTCTCTCTCTCTCTCTCTCTCTCTCTCTCTCTCTCTCTCTCTCTCTCTCCCCATATTTCTGGGTGCCTGCTTCATGGTGGGCACTGAGGATGAATTCCGGAATTAGGCAGTATGGTAGGAAGGGTGTTTCCCCAGTTTCCTGGAGACTAAGATCTGTCAGGAGTAGAGGGGAGAAGGGGATACGCAGACACCCCAAACTCCCTAAGCCCCCTCCTACAACTTCCTTCTCTTTTAGGATATGTGATTAGGACAAAGGATCTATCCAGCACAGTTTCCCATTTCTCAGGAGCGCTGATGGATGGAATTCCTGGAAGAAGCTCACCTTTGTCATGCCTCTCCACTTTAAAAATTCCTCTTCTTCTCTGGGAGTCTTTTCTCTTACTTCTCCACCCACACGGATTCAGGGCTGCTGAACTCAACTCTATCCCTCTGGCCTCAATTCTTTCTGAAACCACACTTTCCCCCCAGGCCTACATAGTCACCGTATGTCCCATGGTGTCCTTTCTCTGGCCTGAAAGGCACCCACCTCCCTTCATGCCTGTTTCTAGGGAGACACCCAAGGATGCTCTCCCAACCTGCTCTTTCCCACCTGTTATTTTGGCTATCATGAATTGTGCTGCAATGAACATAGGAGTGCAAATGTCTTTTATAAATAGAGTTCGGGGGTCTTAGGGTTAGATACCAAGAAGCAGGATTGCTGGGGCATATGGAAACTCAATTCTTAGTGTTTTGGGAAGTGTCCACATTGTCTTCGAAAAAGACTGTATTGTCAACATTCCCAGCAGCAGTGGATGAGGATCAATTTTTCCCCCACATCCATGCCAACACTGTTTTTTCTTAGTTGTGATATTATGCCACATGTGATATATGATATATGTGATATGTTATTGTTGTTGTTGTTGTTGCTGTTGGGGGGGGGGCATACCTGGCGGTGGTTAGAAGTTCCTGGCTCTGTAGACTCAGGAATCACTCCTAGTGGTCTCGGAAGAATGCCAGGGACCTAAAGCAGTTTGGCTGCATGCAAGACCAACACACTATCTACAATAGTACCTACAGTAGTTATCACCTTCAGGGCACCTCATTGTTTTTTTTTTTTAATTTTTGTTAGTGAGGCACCATGAGGTACAGTTGTAGACTTACAAATTTTGTGCTTGGGTTTCAATTATACAATGATCCCTCCACCAGTGCCCATTTCCCACCACCACGAATCCCGGTATCCCTCCCACCCCCATCCCCCCATGCCCCCCTTCCTCTGTGGCAGGGCATTCCCCTTTGTTCTCTCTCTCTTTTTGGGTGTTTTGGTTTGCAAAAGAGGCATTGAGTGGCAATCATGTTTGGCCTGTAGTCTACTTTCAGCATGCTTCTCCCATCCTGGGAGGATCCTCCCAACACCCTTGATTTGATGCTCCCTTCTCTATCTGAGCTGCCTTTTCTCCTAGCATGTGTGGCTGGCCTCCTCATTGTTATTTTTATTTGCATTTTCCTGATGATAAGTGATGCAGGGCATTTTCTTCACACACCTCGTGACCATCTGTATGTCTTTGTTGAAGAAATTTCTGTTCATCTCTTTCCCCCACTTTTTGGATGGAATTGGTTGGGCTTTTTTTTTTTCTTGTAAAGTTCTACCAGTGATTTATATGTCCTGTATATTAACACTTTGTCAGATGAGTGACAAACATTTTATGGTGAGCAAACATTTTATGCCAGTCTATGAAGTGTCTTTTTATACTGATTATTATTTCTTTAGTGGGTTTTATTAGTTATTGTTTATTTATTGTTTGTTTATTTATTTATTAGTTATTGTTTCTTTATTGGGACTGGAGTGATAGCACAGCAGCTAGGATGTTTGCCTTGCACATGGCCGACCTGGGTTTGATTCCTCCACCCCTCTCATAGAGACTCGCAAGCTACTGAGAGTATCCCGCCTGCACGGCAGAGCCTGGCAAGCTCCCCATGGTGTATTCGATATACCAAAAACAGTAACAACAAGTCTCGCAATGGAGACATTACTGGTGCCCACTCAAACATATCAATGAACAAGGGAAGACAGTGCTACAGACTGTGCTATTGTTTCTTTAGTGGTATAGAAGCTTCTTAATTGTGCCTAGAAAATCAAATACTTGGGGTTTTCTTGAAAGGAGGCTTCTGGGGGCGCATACCTGATGTTACTCAGGGGTTACTCCTGAATCTGCACTCAGAAATAACTCAGGACCATGTGGGATGCCAGGGATTGAACATGAGCTGACCAGGTGCAAGGCAAGCACCCTACCTACTTCTTTAGCTCCAGAACAACAGTTTGGCTGCATGCAAGACCAACACTCTATCTACAATAGCATGTAACCAGCTTAATAAAAGAAATAAAAGATCTATACAAAGAAAACTGTAAATTACTGCTGGCAGAAATAAAAGAAGAAACAAGGAAGTGGAAACATATTTCTTCCTCATAGATTGGAAGGATTTGCTCGATTTGCTCGAGCAAATAAAAGAAATAAATAATAATAAAAGAAATAAAAGATCTATACAAAGAAAACTGTAAATTACTGCTGGCAGAAATAAAAGAAGAAACAAGGAAGTGGAAACATATTTCTTCCTCATAGATTGGAAGGATTTGCTCGATTTGCTCGAGCAAATAAAAGAAATAAATAATAATAAAAGAAATAAAAGATCTATACAAAGAAAACTGTAAATTACTGCTGGCAGAAATAAAAGAAGAAACAAGGAAGTGGAAATATATTTCTTCCTCATAGATTGGAAGGATTAATATTGTCAAAATGGCAAACCTGCCCAAAGTACTTTATAAATACAGTGCAGTCCCTATAAAAATACTCATGACATTTTTAAAGACATACATAAAATGCTCCTGAAATTTATATGGAGTTTGGCTAAACTCCCAGAATCGCCAAAGTAACCCTAGGGAAGATAAGATGAGGCCTCCTTTCCCCAATTTAAAATTATGCCTTGGGAGCCGGAGAAATCGTACTGTGGGTGGGGCGCTTGCCTTGCACACTGTCAGCCTGAGTTTGACTTTCGAGCCCCCATATGGGTCCCCTGAGGACAACTAGCAAGAGTGACTCCTGAGCCATGAGTAAACCCTGAATACAGTTGGGTGTGACTCCAAAACCAATAAATAAAATTATACCTGAAGTTGTAGTAATGAAAATAGTGTCGTACTGGAATAAGTACTAATGGAGTTAAATTGATAGCCCAGAGACAGATTCTCAGATAAATGGTTAACTAATTTTCGATAAAAAGGAGCAAACAGTATGAAACTTGCTTCATACAGTATGAAACAGCACCATTAAAAAATGGTGCTAGGAAAATTATCAGTCAGTGATATGTAAAATAATGAACTCAGATCCCTTTCACCATGCACAAAGGTCAATTCAAAATGTATTAAAGACCTGATATCAGGTTGAAATCCATCAATCATATTGAGGAAAAGCATAGGCAGAACACTTCATGACACTGAATCTAGAGGTATCTTTGGTGATTCACTCCCATTGGCAAAGCAAATGGAAACAGGGATTGCCAATTTGTTGATGGTTGTATGCCAGGCACCTAGAAAAAACCTTACACTTAACAGGCTCTCAGTGAATGAACAAAGCAAGTAAATGGAGCCGAAGCAATAGCACAGCAGGTAGGGTCTTTGCGTTGTACATGGCTGACCTGGGTTTGATCCCCAGCATTCCTGAGCACCACCAGGAGTAACCCCTGAACACTGCTGGTGTGACCCAAAAGCAAAACAAATAAATTAATTAATTAAAATTAAATTAGATGAGCACAATGATTTCAGATAGGTGGGATGGCACAGCAGGTAGGGCATTTACTTTGGCTGACCAGGTTTGATCTCCAGCATCCCACGTGGTCCCCCATTCCTCACCAGGAGTGATTCCTGAGTGCAGAGCCAGGAGTCAGCCCTAAGCTCTGAGAATGTGGCCAGAAAAAAAAAGCCAAATACTTGTATCAAGAGCACATAAAGCAGTGTGGGGGCCATTTTGTAATGCTTTCCAGAATGGTCTGTATGAGCTGATCTCTGAACTGAGACCCAAATGGACAAATGAAGGAGACTGCATTGCAGTCAGGAGAACTGGGAAGGCCAAGCTTATGGCAGAAATGGGTTCACCCATGTGGGGATCAGATAGGCAATTGGTGCAGTTAAGACTTCATGAAATGGGATCGAGATGGACAGAGGCCAGAGCATGTGCACCCTCAAAAACCACAGTAAAGAATTTAACAAAAATCTACTTAAGACTTTTAAAAACTGGGACTGGAGTGATAGCACAGTGGGTAGGGTGTTTGCCTTGCACACAGCCGACCTGGGTTTGATTCCCAGCATCCCATATGGTCCCCTGAGCACTGCCAGGAGTAGTTCCTTAGTGCAGAGCTAGGAGTAGCCCTTGTGCATCACCGGGTGTGACCCAAAACTTAAAAAAAAAAAGAATTTTTAAAAACTTTGAACTTTTTATGTAAGTCATTCAGAGAAATACTCATGCCTTTGAAAACAGTTCTATCTATCACCATGATAGATGCATCGCCTGTGTAACCCAAAAAGCAAAAAAAAAAAAACCCAAAAAATAACAGTAAATGCAGAAAGATCAGTCTGAGTCACTACAGTTGTCCAGAAGAGATAATAATGGCTTCATGGTGATACATATGGAGAAACTATGCACATGCAAATGGTAAATCATTTCCTGTTCTTTTTATTGTTGTTGGGGGCACACCCAGGGGTGCTCAGGTCTTATTCCTATTTCTACAATCAGGGATCTCTCCTGGCAAGGCATGGAGGAACCATACAAGGTTTCAGGGATTGAACCCGGGTTGGCGTCATGCAAGTCAAATGCCCTACCCACTGTACTCTTCTTTGGACCCCTCATTTCCTCTTCATTTATCATTGCCCTTCTCTTTTCATAAAAGAGGAATAGATACCAGAGATTGAGACAGAGAAATTTTGACAACAAACAAACTACTAATTCTAAAGAAAATTAAACTTTTCAGACAGGTAGGTCATCCAAAATTGTAAATCCAAAGAGTGACTCCTAGTTCTAGATGTCTTTGCATATAGGAGCTTCTCAGTAAGTGTCAGAACCAGAGAATCAAGGGGACCAGTGCTGGTCACAGACCGGCCGAGAGACACAAAAGAGAAAGAGTGTCTAGTGGATAATCCTTTCACTCTGTAAGTGTCTATGGGGTTGCTAAAACTCTCAGGAGGATAAAATCTTGGAGGATAAAATGCCACCTTGTGTGGTATGTGCCAGAAAAGACATCAGGGAAGCAAAGATGAAGATAGCTATGGAATTCCAAACATGGGAGAGAGGCAAAGAATCTAGCCTGGCACAACAAAGACAAGGCTGGATATGGTTCCCCAAGCACTGCCAGGATTAAGTCCTGAGTGCAGAGGCAGGAGTAACCCTGAGCATCGTCAGGTGTGACCCAAAAAGCCAAAAATTTTTAAAATAAATAAATAAAACCCAGACGTTCCAGTGCACACATATATCTTCCTGACAGTTAGGTTTGAATCCTGAGGAATTTACAACTTAAGAAGTGACTGTGAGGGGCTGGAGCCATAGCACAGCGGGTAGGGCGTTTGCCTTGCATGCGGCCAACCCAGTTTCCATTTCCAGCATCCATTCCCAGCATCCATTTCCAGCATCCTGAGCACCACCAGGAGGAATTCCTGAGTGCAGAGCCAGGAGTAACTCCTGAGCATTGCCGGGTATGACCCAAAAAAGAAAGAAGAAAAAAAAAAGAAGTGACTGTGAGAGGGAACAGCTGAGGCCTTGGGAAAGGGGTAGCCTCTGTGAAGAAAGCCACAGGGAAAGACAGAGAAAAACCTGCTGCAGAGGGAATTTATAGTTACTGAGCATTTGCTCTGAGCCAGTCTTGACATCAAGTGAACCTCTTTCATTGAATTCAGAGAACAGGTTAGGAAGATAGCTTACAGGGCGAGCATATGCTTTGCATGCAGGAGGGCTGGGTTCAACCCAGGCCCTTCATGGTCCCCTGGGCAGTGTGAGGAGTAACCCTAAATACAGAGGTGGTAGTAGCTACTAACCAAAGCCCAATTTGGCCAAAATAAAAAATCCTAAGGACAGGAGTCAGGGCGATAATACAGTGGGTAGGACATTTGCCTGGCATGCAGCTGACCAGGGTTTGTTCCCCGGCATCCTATATGGTCCCTCCAGCACCTCCGGGAGTAATTCTTGCATGCAGAGCCCTGCAGGAGTAACCTCTGAGATTGCCGGGTGTGGCCCAAACAAAACAAAACAAAAAATCCTGAGAACATCCCCAGGGTAGACCTCAAAGACTCTTGAGAGGTCATATAGACTGGAGACCCAGAGAAATTGACCAATTCGTAGAGTGTGAAGTAAGAACAGGATTGGTATTAAACCTAGGCCTCCTGATTTCTATTCAGTTGGGTACCTACTATACACCAAGATTTATGGGGGTTATACTTATCAGAGGATAACTATAAAAGAAAGAACTTCCAATCATTGGGAAAAGATGATTAAGAGCAGGCTGCTCGCTGTCAGGAGAGATGAAGTCATGAACTTCGCTTATAAATGGGTAGACATGGAGAGTATCATGCTAAGTGAAACGAGTCAGAAAGAGAGGGACAGACATAGAAGGACTGCACTCATTTGTGGAGTATAAAACAACACAACATGAGACTGACACCTAAGGATAGTAGATACACGGGACAGGTGGGTTGCTCCATAGCTGGAAGCCTGCCTCATGAGCAAAAGGGAGAAGGCAGCTTGAATAGACAAGGGATCACTAAGAAAAAGATGGCTGGAGGAATCGGTCGGGATGGGAGATGTGTGCAGAAAGTAGATAAAGGACCAAACATGATAACCTCTCAGGGTCTGTATTGCAAACCATAATGCCCAAAAGTCACTGTCACTGTCACTGTCCTCTTGTTATTCATCGATTTGCTCGAGTGGGCCCAGTAACTTCTCCATTGGAGACTTTGTAGTTACTGTATTTGGCATATCGAATACATCACGAGGAGCTTGCCAGGCTCTGCCGTGCGGGCGAGATACTCTCGGTAGCTTGCCGGGCTCTCCGAGAGGGGCGGAGGAATCAAACTCAGGTTGGCCATGTTGGCTGCGTGCAAGGCAAACGCCCTACCTGCTGTGCTATCACTCCAGCCCAATGCCCAAAAGTAGAGAAAGATTATGGGGAATCATGTCTGCCATGGAGGCAGGGGGAGGGTGGGAAAGGGAGGTATACTGGGGATATTGGTGGTGGGGAATGCACACTGGTGGAGGGATGGGTGTTTGATCATTGTGTAATTGTAACCCAAACATGAAAGCTTGTAACTATCTCGCAGTGATTCAATAAAATTTAAAAAAAGAAGAGGGAGAAGAAGAAGAAGAAGAAGAAGAAGAAGAAGAAGAAGAAGAAGAAGAAGAAGAAGAAGAAGAAGAAGAAGGAGAAGGAGAAGGAGAAGGAGAAGGAGAAGAAGAAGAAGAAGAAGAAGAAGAGGCTGCTAAAATCTCAGGGCTAGGAGGAATAGAGACGTTACTGGCACCCGCTCGAGTAATTCGACGACCAACGGAATGATAGTGATAGTGATAGTGACAGTTATCGGGTCCAGTCTCTCTAGAGGCTTCAATCTGGACAGAGATTAAGTAAGCACATAGGTAATGATAGCTCTAAACTCCAGGAGAAGTGCTGACAGGTTCATCCACAGGGCGGAGGGCATCACAGACACATTCCAGAAGGAGGGAAGCACAGCTCTAAGCAAGGTCTGAGGATCTGGGAGGCTTTGCTAACACATTGTCTCCTGTTCTGTAGACACTGTGTCCAGGAATTGCAGCTGTTCGAGCAGGTGGCAAGGGCTGTTGCGGTGCAGGCTGCTGTGGAAATCGTTGCCGGGTAAGGGTCAAATTGGGCTAAAATTCAGGCTTCCATGTCTGAACTCATTAGGGGATCGAGTTATGTCAGTGGGTGGGACTCTTGTCATGCATGCAGCCAAACTGGATTGGATCTCCTATGCCCATATGGTCCCCCAACTCTGCCAGGAGGGACCTCTGAGTGAAAAGTCAGAAGTAATCCTTGAGCATAGCCAGTGAGGGCCAGAAACAAAACAAAATCACAGCAACCAAAATCTGACTTTTTAAGAACCGAGAATGCTGCTACAGAACTCCTCGCTATACCATCTTCCCTGCTGAGTGGGATCCTGGGCTCCACCTTTCATCTCTCACACACGAATCTTAGATTTCTTTTGCAGTTCATTAGCACACACACAAATCTCAAGACACATTGGAGTAGGCTTGAGCTCCAAGTTCAAGGTTTAACGTAACATATTTGAAGGGTTTTGATTGTTTGTTTTGTTTTTTTCTTTGGGGGCCACATTCAGAGGCTGCTCCCAGCTCCATGCTCAGGGATTCCTCCTGGCAGTGCTAATATTCAAACCTCGGGTTCCTGCACACAAAGTATGCACTCCAGCCCTTTGAGCAGTATTACCTCCTGGAAATGTTTTTTTTTTTTTGGCTTTTTGGGCCACACCCGGCAATGCACAGGGGTTACTCCTGGCTCTGCACTCAGGAATTACACCTTGCGGTGCTCAGAGAACCATATGGGATGCTGGGAATTGAACCCGGATCGGCCACATGCAAGGCAAACACACTATCTGCTGTGCTATCACTCCAGCCTCTGGAAATATATTTTTAACACCACTTGAGGATAGTTCTGTAATATGGAGGTGAAAATCAGTAATCTTCCCGCCAGTGAGGAAGGTGGGAGGCAGTCCTACTCACCTCACCTTCTGTTCTTCCTCCAGATGCTGCGCTCTGTCTTCTCCTCGGCGTTTGGGGTACTTGGAGCCATCTATTGCCTCTCTGTATCGAGTGCAGGCCTCATTAGTGGACCATATTGCAGAATTAATGAACAAGATTGGAAATACCCCTTCGAAGGGGATGCGTAAGGCTTAGCCTGTATTTGCTCCCACCACCCCCATTCTCTCCACCATCTTTCTTAGGTCTAAATGAAAATCAGGGTGTGCTGGCTGCTAGTGTCTTGTGGAGAAAACTAGCCCTTGGGTGCACAGGGCTGGGAGAAGGGGAGGAGGCACTAGCTTCATTTGACTTTCTCTCTCCAACACAGAGGTGCTTACTTATTCAATAATACTCTGTGGAGTACGTGCTTGGAGCCCACTAAAATAGTCTACTGGAATGTGATATTATTCTCACTGCTGGTGGGCGCCTCATGCCTGGAGATTGTGCTGTGTGGGGTACAACTGGCGAACGCAGCCATTGGTGTCATCTGTGGTGACTGCAGAAAGAAAGAGGTGGGTCAGCGTTGTGGGGTGGGAGGGGCAGGTGGAGCTGTGGAGGGCCCTCCTTGTTCCTTGGCTGGGTCCTCATTGCCTCTTTTCTACAGGGCACCGTTCACTGAGGCTTCACTGACTTCCCTGCTGCTCCTGGATACCCTTGCCCCCCTCCCTGGAACAGTGGAATAAAGCACTTGTGCTCTCCTCAGCATCTCAGATTGTGCCCTATGGGACATGGAAGGACTGGCCGAAGGTCTCCAGATATACCTGACACTCTCCTACTTGCAGCTGCTTAATATATTCTTTATATTCTTTCTTTTTCTCTTCTTTATTTTTTTTCTTTTTTGGGTCACACCGTTGATGCACGGGGTTACTCCTGGTTCATGCACTCAGGAATTATTCCTGGCAGAGCTCGGGCAACCATATGGGATTCTAGGAATTGAACCTGGGTCGGCAGCATGCAAGGCAAATGCCCTACTCGCTGTGCTATTGCTCCAGCCCCTCTTCTCTCTCTCTCTCTCTCTCTCTCTCTCTCTCTCTCTCTCTCTCTCTCTCTCTCTCTCTTTTCTTTTTTTCTTTCTTTTTTGGAGTGGGAGGGCATGATATTTGTCACGCCTGACAGCACTCAAGACTTCCTCCCGGCTCTGCACTCAGGGATCACTCCTGGCAGTGTTCAGGGGACCTTATGTGGTGTCAGGGTCACCACATACAAGGCAAGGGTCTTAACCCCTGCTTTATTTCTCTGCCCTGTCCTTTGTTTTCAGGAGTGGTGAAGCTGGAATGGACCACACCCAGGGGTGGTGGGTGGTGCAAGGCTATTCTTTGCTGTGCTGAAAGTAGCTCCTCAGAAGTGCCCTAGCAACCATGCTAAGCATGTTCTCTGGCCCTCTGAGCTATTTCCCACTGTCAGCGTATTTCTTTGGGGATAGTGGCTCTTAAACAATGGCGAGGAGTCCAGCTAGTTGGGGATTCCGAGTCACACCAGTGCTAGGTGCTTGGGGGACTGTGGTTCCGGGTACGGAAACTGGGCAAGGGTGTGTCTCGTGGTAGTATCTCCTGGCCCCTTGTTCGTTTCTTTACAAAGTTATTGAGCCACTAGTGTGTATTAGTGGAAGTTAATGCAAAAGAGTTGAAGTCTAGATGCTCAAAGAATTTAACATCCAGGGTTGAAGAAAGTCATTTGGTGTGGGTCAGGGGAGCAAGCACAACAATGCTAGGAGACAACGCTATGCTCTGGGGACTGCGCAATACTGGGGAAGAAACCCCTTGACCTCCCAACCCTTCGAGCCACCATGTTTCAAACATGCATTGCTTGTGGCCTATGGAGATAACTCAAAGGACGGGAGTGTTGCTTGCAGGAGTGTTGCTCTCTGGAACTGCATCACTCCAGAATGGCCCTAGACACCACCAGGTTATTTCAAAACATACTTTGGTAAGATCCTGGGGATAGATTGGGGGCAAAAGTGTGTAAGATGGTAATTTCCAGATGGGTGTTGCACACAGGAACGTGGCATAGTTGCACTGGCTCTTGTGTGTGCCATCCCTGTGATGCTATGGAGGAGACAATGCCCCACCTTTAAAGCACCATAAGAAAAGGAGAAGAAATTTAAGATAATAAAACACATTTGTAAAGGGGGTCCAAACTGACTGATGGAGGGAAAGTCTGATGAAACGAAAACTGAAATCTGATATCTGTACTAACCACCCACATACTTAGGGAATTCCTGCAGAAATAACAGCTAGGACAAAAATAATAAATGGTAATCAGCATATAAGACTACTGTTTTGTTTTGCTTTGTTTTATTGAGGAAGGGGTGAAAACACATTTCTGCTGCTGTGGCCAGAGAAATAGTACAGTGGATAGGGTGCTTGCCTTACAGCCAACCGACCTGGCTTCAGTTCCCAGCATCCCAGATGTTTCCCCAATCCCACCTGGAGTGATTCCTGAGAACAGAGCCAGGAGTAAGCCCTGAATAACATTGGGTATGACCTAAAAACATACAAACAACACCAAAAAAAAATCCACTTCTGTTTCTAAGCTTTAGAAAATGGAACCTTAGTTCATTTATATCTTTACCACCTCCAGGGCCAGAGCGATAACACAGTGGGTAGGGTGTTTGCCTTGCAAGCAGCCAACCTGGGTTCGATCCCCAGCATCCCCCAAGCACTGTCAGGAATAATTCCTGATTGCAGAGCCAGGAGTAACCCGTGAGCATCGCTGGGTAGTGACCCAAAAAGCAAAATACATATATATATATATATATATATATATATATATATCATACCACCTCCTAATTCAGTAGAAATTTCTATTTTTTTTAAATGTAGGAGTATTATAATTATTCGCCATTGATTAGGCTGATTTAATTGGGCATGAACTCCACCTTACTTTTTTTTTTATAAATTTATTTGTTGAATCACCGTGAGAGCAGTTACAAAGCATTCGGGTTTAAGTCTTGGTCATATAATAATGAAACACCCGACCCTTCACCAGTGCCCATTTTCCACCAACCAAAAAACCCAGTATACCCCCCATCCCACACCCTCCCCCTACCTGTGGGGCAGATGATTTCCACATTACTCTCTCTCTACTTTGATTACGTTCAATATTTCAACACCAGACCCACCATTATTATTTGGAATTTTACCCCAACACTCAGATCTGCCAAAAAGACAACCGCAGACAATTTGTTTTCTATTGCTCGTTATGAATAATATATGATATCAGGAGGCCACTACTGTGGCCGTGCGATTTTGGAAATCTGAAATTTTAACAATTAAATCTGGAGGGATTTCTGTCAAAACCTGCTGGGTTCTGAGATTCGTTCTTGAGTCTCTGGGATCATAGACATTAGCGGCTTGATCAGGAGCCAGACAGGCCATTCGTGGGTGGTGACCCAGGGTCTCATTGGAGCGGGACGGAAAGGTCTGACTCCATCCCCATCTCGTGAGGCCCGACATGTCTCATCACTGAGGGCCCAAACCTGACTGTCCAATGGCCTTTGGAGGATGGCGGCCGCCGAGCCACCAGAGGAAACAGGTCAAGGCAAGAAACTTATTCCGACCCAGGGTGGACTGGCACCGGTAACCTACTGCAGGGACTGGACCCATTTCTGCCAAAAGCTGCTGGGTTCTGAGATTTGTTTCTGAGTCTCTGGGATCAAGGCCGTTAAGCAGCTTGATCAGGAGCCAGAAAGCCGTTCGTGGGTGACGACTTGGGGTCTCCTTTGGGTGGGGAGGAAAGGGCTGGCTCCATCCCCATCTCACGAGGCCCTGCGTGTCTTGTCACTGCGGGCCCAAACCTGACTGTCCATGGCCTCTGGAGGATGATGGCCACCAAGCTGCCAAGAGGGAGCAAGCGGAGGGACAGCACCCTTTCCCCCTTGGGTGGCCCGGAGCCAGTAACCTACTGCAGGGACTGGATGCATTTCTGCCAAAAGCCGCTGGGTTTCAAGATTTGTTTCTGAGTCTCTGATATCATGGCCATTAAGCAGTTTGATCAGGAATCAGAAAGGTCTTGCTTCCAATTATATAGAATTATATAGCTGAGCAGGAGGTGCTTTGTGGGTGTGTCTCCCACATACCTAACTTTTGACCGTTTACTTTCTTGATAAACTTGGCCCCAAGTTTTTGAGGTCTGGCCAAAGGCACAGCAGCAATTTGGGGATATCTAGAAGTCTGAAGGCACCATCAGGCTGCTGATGCACTCACCTCACAGGTATAGATTGACCTGCTGGCAGCACCTTACCCCCATCAGTAGAAATTTCTTTTTTTCTTTACTTCTTTTTTTAAAATTTTTATCAGTGAAACACCATGAGGTACAGTTGTAGACTCACAAATTTTTGTGCTTGGGTTTCAGTTATACAATGATCAAGTACCCATCCCTCCACCAGTGCCCATTCTCCACCACCACTAATCCCAGTATCCCTCCCACCCCCCCATCCCCCATCCCATCCTACCTCTGTGGCAGAGCATTCCTTTTTGTTCTCTCCTTTTGGGTGCTGTGGTTTGCAAAAGAGGCATTGAGTGACAATCATGTTCGGTATATAGTCTACTTTCAGCATGCATCTCCCATCCTGGGCGGATCTTCCCAACACCCTTTATTTGGTGCTCCCTTCTCTATCTGAGCTGTCTTTTCCCCTAGTGTGTGTGGCTGGCCTCCAAGCCATGGAGTAAGCCTCTTGGTGTCAGTAGAAATTTCTTAATCTGAAGTTATGGGTGGGTCAAAAAAAGGAAAGGAATTTTACTTTTTGCTGTTATTTTAATTTGGGATCACACTCAGCGATGCCCAGGGCTTACTTCTGACTCTGCATTCAGGAATCATTCCTGGCAGTGCTCAAGAGACCATACAGGATGCTGGGAATCAAACCCTTGTTGACCACATGCAAAGCAAGTGCCTCACCCACTGTAATATCTCTCTGGCCCCAGAATATTTAATGGAGTGTCCTCATAAAAAGAGACTGGGTCAGAGAAATAGAACAAGAAATAAGGCCTTGCAACTGCTGAAATCAATTCAATCCCCAGCACTGCTTATGGCCCCCAGAGCACTTCTAGAAGTGACCCACGAGTCCAGAGCCAGGAATAGCCCCCTGGGTTGTAGTAGCCCACTGGGTGTAGTAGCCCACGATTCCCACCCCTAAAAGGGGCTTCCTTCTTTGGTTTCTTGTTTCATCTGGAGGCCACACCAGCAGGACTTACTCCCAGCTCTGGTGCTGTGAGTAGAACAAGGATTGGCTGTTGGTGCAAGATAACCACCTTAACTCCATATTTATCCCCCAACAGGGACTTCCTAACTTGTATGTAAAATGGTGTTGAAGGAGAGCTTTTTTCTGGATTATGGTTCTGTAACTTTCAGTAGCTTGCTCTAGGCTTCTGAGGCCAAACTGGAATCTACTAGCCTAGAAGAATAGGAGACACGGTTTCAAACCCTTACAATAATCAAGACAAAGGCCAAGACTGAGAAGCTTTAATAGCAGGAGGTGGCTAGGCATGGGAGTGAGGAAGAAAGCAGTGACTTCATCAGCTTATTCAACTTGCGCAGCAGAAAAAGCGCACGTCGTTCAGCGCAGTGTCATCACGGAGACCCCTGGGCGGCTCCACCTTGGTCTGCAAGCCACACACTCCTTTGGGGCATAACTTGCTCCAGTCTCCAAAGTCTCCCCAGTTCAGACCAGGGCCCTCCAGCTCCGT